CTGCATTAATTGAGGCCATATCTCGTTTTGCTATCATAAAGCCATTTTGACCCCTTTTTGACCCTAGTTTATACCGTACAGTTTTTATCCCTATACTATTACTGCTTTCAAAGATATTTTTACAAGCATATTTGTTTTAATATAAATGAAAAGTCACATTAAAAAGTATGTTTTTGTTCATAAAGATATAAATATTTCTATTACTAATGTCGTTTTTTATTTTAAAGTTAAAAAATATAAGTGCATTATTTTTAATACTTTATCTTAACATAAAATGTTAAAATCTTCAACACTTATTGACGCGTTTTGCTAAATACAGTAGAATCAGATGGCACAATTCTATACATTTAACATTATAGTTATTGTGGAACTGTATAACAACATGTCATACTTACAGTTACTTAATACAAACAAAATTTTAATGCATCTCTAAAGTTAAAATATTTTTAAAAAATCGCAAAGGAAATCTAGATAAGCATGATAAATGATAACCTTTGTAGCGAAACAATCAAGTACATGTACTTAAATTAATGCATAGAATGCTAAGAGGAACACATATGTAATGTGAAAACATATCTGTTGTTATGATTCAACAAATCAACTAATTTGGATTAAATAACTTTGGTGTAATGTCAAATTGAACAAAAGCTTTCTAGCACAATAGGTACATGGTATGTTGTTCAACGTCAGTAGGCATACAGTTAAAATCACTTGATCATGCAACATTAAATTCGATGCTACATAATGTAATTAATAGGTACGTTCGATATTTTTTAATTTATTAATTTTACATGCCGTTTCAATTTTCCCAAATAAAGATTGTGTTCCTATGTTTTTGCGTGCATTTTGTTTTATATTATTCGTCTTTGATTTTAGTTTTCTAAACGCTGTTCAAAACAGCTATTACCGCGGTGATATAATTCATGTTGTTCTTTTTCATTACTTGATTTCATTTCAAGTCAGTTTCAATTTTACTTGTATGAATATGGTATATTTAGAGTAACTTCTAATCTTTAACACTTTTACAATGAATCATGAAATACATGTTAACTTGGATTATTTTATCTTGATAGATCAAAATGAAACATTGCATCTAAATAATATTTTTTATGTACCTTAACTTCATGAAAAAAGCCTAATAAAACGTAATTGCGAAGAAGATATTTTTGGTTCCGAAGAGTCCTCACAATTTTTTTCAAATTATTATGCTGTCCCAACATTGATACACATACATGTCATAATACAGGATGTCACTTGATCAAGGTAAAGGAAAACTTGTCCCTAAATATGTTCCCATGCGCGTACGACCAAATTGGAGACTTGAGTTCTACTTCCACCATGTTCTTTACCAGGTATTTCGCCAAAATATTATTCTTTTTTAAATTGATAAATATTCACGGTGGTAAAGAAGAGAATCAAAGTTAGGCACAATAGAGACCTTGTATGTCTTTGTAAGTTGTTTGTGTAAAACATTAAAAGGCACGCGGTAATGCTTCACACCATGAAATCCCGTTTTCAGGAAGTTAAAAATCACTTATTTAGTGCCCAGTCTGAGAAAAAGACTTAGAACTAGCACCTCGCCTAATATATATTTGACAGCGGAATAAACTCTGCCTTTATGGATAAGTTTATTCTTGGGTAGCCTGGTGTCATCTTAATACATTTGCACCTATAAACATGTATGTGATTTCTTGCTTAATATAATGATTCATATTGTAGAGACCATAAGCCTCACTTTAATACTTCGGGGGTGTGCGTGATATTCCGCTGCGTGACAGACGATATTTTATGGCACTGTACTTTGATGGGGGTATATATTTAACCTGTGTCTGTTTTATATAGATACCTTTCATGTTGCATATCTATATATACAACTCAAAATTTGCTAAGGATCACCTTTTTGACATTGCATATTTCAGTCTTATTATCATCATATTAAAATCATATTCCCTCTAACGATACACCTGTACGGGCACCTAATAATCGTGTACTTTAGTTATCGATTTGTCATGTACATCTTTCACAATAAGCACATGGAAAAGCATAGCCATTATGGCGTTTGGTGTTTTATGGCCATGCGCTTTCACTTAAATGTGAACAAGTCGTTTTTATTGTACAACTGTGTTCGAAATTAACAAACTATGGCAAATCGACAGGCTAGACGTCGTCTTAATGAAGATGAGATAAACAGGGGTATTGGAATGTTGGAGGGTGGCCGTTCACAAAGGCACGTTGCCCATGTCCTTTGGGTATCCCAGAGCGTTTTCTCCAGGATGTGGAACCGATTCCGAATGACTGGAAATGTCTTGCAGAGCCATGCCGGAGGTCGGGCACGTTCAACGACTCAAGCCCAGGACCGATTTATTGTCCTTCAGGCCAGGCGCAAGCGGTTCTCGAACGCTACGACCTTACGTAACGACTTCCAGAATGCAACTGGTGTGCGTGGAAGCACACAAACTGTTAGAAACAGGTCAGGTTTCATGATGCTGGGTTGAGGTCACGGAGGCCAGCAATTAGCATTCCTTTGACCTAACATTCAAGAGCGTTTGCAATGGGCGCAGACTCATGTCACATGGACAGATAATGACTGGATCCCGGTCCTCTTCACTAATGAGTCAATTTTTGTGTGGACTTCACGGACAGACGGGCTAGGAAGTGGAGAAGTCCAAATAAACACTTAGCTCCAGCATGCGTTGCAGAACACGACCGTTTTGGCAAAGGTTTAGTCATGGTGTGAACGGGAATAAGCGCTCAGGGGAAAACGGACCTACACATTTAAAACGGTACACTGATGGCAGTAAGGTACGTCAATGTAATCTTAGACGTCCATGTACGCACGTACGCTGGCGCAGTTGGTCCTGATTTCATTCTTATGGATTACAACGCCCGTGCACACAGAGCTCCACATCACAGACTGATATCTTGAGGTTGCAACTATAGCCCGCATGGATTGACCAGCGAGGTTCCTGAATTTAAATCCAATTGAGCATGCTTGGGATATGCTGCAGAAAGCCGCTTCTTCACGCCACATACAACCAACAACAGTTCAGGAGCTAAGACATGATGGCATAGAGGAATGGGACCGGATTCTTCATTAAAAGGTCCGCAGGCTCATCCTGCGGCGCCGAGGCAAGGCCGTAACTAATATCCGCGGACACAATACCCGGTATTAAACACCCTACGCCAACCATTTCCTGATTTGCTAGATTTCTTTTTATATGTTGATTTTCGTCCAGCACACGCTTTCCGCAACAGGCACATGTCAAGGAACTCTTCCACTGTCATTATTTTTTTATAAAAATCAATTCCTAACTAATTATATTTAATTCCTTTTAATCACTTTTCACATTTATTACAAATTCACTCACTGTAGAAAAACTGATCCTTAGCAAATTTTGAGTGGTATAATTATTAATGTATTAGTTTTATTTCGGGAAGCCTGGTGCCATCTTTATTCATACCAACCTATAAATGTGATTTCTTGCTTACACTGATTTATATTGTAAAGACCATAAGCATTGCAATAGTTTTTACGTCATTGTACATACGTCAATCACTTAATGTATTAAACTGGACTAATGGGGATAGAGGAATTTCTATTATTATAACGAAGTTAAATAGAAAAAGCTTATTGCAGTATGTTTCTAGTTATGTACTGAGTAACTTTTTAGTTTTAACTTCGGTTTGGGCTATACTGCAACCTGATGAACGTGTTACAAAGCTGTCATTTATGCGAATCCGGGTCATTATGAACATGTACTTGAAAATAAGCGAAGTTTTGAACAATATATTTAAGCAGCGTATTTCTTGGTTGGTAAATAAGGTAGGCGATGCTTGGTTATTAAGTCTATGGATATGGTATAGTCTTATTGCAATGAAATATTAGTTCCTTAAGTCTTTAAATAAATAAGATAGTACGTAATTTTTTGGACCTATCTGCGTAATGCGTACTTTGTTGTTCTAGTTTGTACTGTATATTGTTTGGGTTTGAGTACCGGAAACGTCCTTCAAACAATTATACGTGTAAGTTGGATCATCGGACATTTAAACGGGTTGTACTGTTTCAAGGTTAAGATTCTATTTATATATTATTCTTTTATGAACGTTAGAGGGTCAATTATAAAGCTTTTTTGTCTAAAGACGTAAGGTTTAATTTGAAGATGGATGCCCCGTATCGTTGTGCGGAACTGCATGTTGTTTGCAATGCAAACGCGTGCTCAAATGTTTCCGGCTGAATACAATATTAGCAGTTCTTATCGCCCGCGAATAAGTGACCTTATAGACTATAGTCATCTTTTACCTGAATAGAGAAAAACTCTAAAAATCCTGAATATAGACAAAGTTTCCATTATTATTAAAATGCTAAACTTAAAGAAATATTAATCTAATATCTTGTTTAAATATCAGTAAATATTAACAAACACTGATCTTACTAGTAATGTGGTATATAAAAAAAACTAGAAAAAATATATTGATAGATTAAAGAAATGTCTTATTATCAGTTATACTGTTTTCATTTAATGTTTGTATATGCTGCTATTTATCTCGTAAACTGAGTAAATGATAACATTTTAAAAAATATAACTTCATAGTTCCGTAAAATTTAATCTAGACATATACGCATACATACATATACTCTGCAATAAGTACTTCTTAAAGGCTAATTATACATAGAAATGCTACCAATTTTATTTCCTTAAAACTTCAAGTTTTCGGTACACGTGCTAGTAAATACTCATTTTCCATATACATGTCTATCTGCAACTATAGCTATGTTTGCATTCGGTATGATCATAGTGAATAAGTTGAATAAGTTTTTATGGCAGTCAAAAAACTTCTTTTTTACATTTTGCTACCTTTATGACGCATTACTGCAAGTTTAGCGCAGTAATCGCAAATGCGTGTAATAAAAAAATTAACACTACCGTGCAACTTCTCTAATTTGCTAACGAAACATTCCTGACGCGGGCTTTATCGGTATCTCACCGTCACGGTTCATGGTAAACATGATGTTCAGAAGTACGATATATACAACATTTATTAGGATGTGGTAGCGTATAATTGTTTTATAATCAAATGGACTGCACTTAAATTAAGCGGAGGATTATGCGATCATGAGATGTTAATCAAAGGTTATTATTTCAGTTTTTCAGTTCAGGCGAAATAGTATTTATCATACATTTGTAACAATGATCTAATAAGTTGACTTCTAATGCAATATATGTTCCATATACATGTACATTGTACATCAATTCTATGTCGATTATCTATTATATTGAGACCCAAAAGACAATGTTACTTTCTTTTGAATCAAGAAATGAAAACTGAACAGAAATCGGTATTGTTTCTTTTAAAAATAAACATAATTTAGTAACATTTTCTTTATTTTTGCACATTGTAAGAATATTGATATCATACCTTTATATACAAAACGATGAACACATATTAATATCAATAAAATGATTAAAACGATGTTATTAAAACATTTAGAATAAACATATTTTAAAAGCGTATTTGCTTGTGTCTATTATAGGCCATGTGAGTACGCTGAAACTTGTGTCTTCATAAGGCATGCTGAAAATTGATACAAATTAGAGACACTTGTAAAAATTCACACGAGGTCATGAACTTCGACTAGCCGATAAATTATTAATGAATTCTCAATTGTGGCGTGAGTCCACCCTTACCTCACCTGTAATGGATCTTACAATGTACTGGTTTATCAGCCAAAAAGATTCAGGCGTTTGATTATAAATAGGTCTGTTTTATTTTTATAACACCTTTATACTATGCTATTGCAACGGGTTGCAAGACCTGTTCATTTGTTCAATTCATTGTATTGCAGAAAAGAAATAAAAAAAAACTTTTAACAAATGCCAGTGTACAGGGAAAATGGAAAATGTGAAGAATATATGTATTATACAAACCTTGTAAATTGTATGAATGAAATTAATGTGCTGTGAAATCATCGTATGGGAGTTATATTCTTATTTATCTTATTTACGTTAAAATTTTACGCTTTTTATGAATTAATATGTATAAATTTTACGCTTTTAATGAATTTAATATATATAAGTTTTACGCTTTTAATAAATCTGATATTATACATAATTTGATTTACATAAAATTTATATAATATTATACAGAATCTGGTTGTACAAAATTGACATACAGGATTTTATAAATCCATCAAAATTGAAGTAACTTTATTTTTTTTATTTTATTTAAATGCTTGTGATCAATAAAACATGTTATGAATGTAATACCAGGTTGTACTACAAAACAATTTAACGTTGTTTCAATATTTGTTTTCAGATAAATGATCTTAAATGTGAAGAAACAGATGCAATAGAAGAAGTCAATGTTCAAAATATCACATCATACTTAGATTTCATCAAGTGCTGCTTATATATTTTAGTTGTTTTATTTTTTTTAGCAATTAACAGACATATGTTATACATAACATTTGTATCGTATAAAAAATAAATAATAAATAAGTGACGACGGAATTATTTTCATTTCTTTTTATTTAAATACGATAAATATAGTAGACGGGTTTGATTTTCAGACAAGACCTTCCGTTAAGAGTCTAACGCATTTTTTAGTACAAGCAGGTAGTCAATCGTTTTTACATAATTCTGGTACTCTGAATCCATTTTTGGCTCTACCACGCCTGTACTCGAAGTCCTTGACCTTCTAAAGGTCAAATCAAAATGGCCGCCATTGTCTTTTACCATCTACTTAAACATTATTATTTCTGGTACATATCGTATCGTATGTCCGTTTATCTACATGGAATAAAGTTCCAATTACTTTTAGGAATTATTGGCTGATAATTATACAGTCATGCTGTACACATTGACTGCTGTGCCGGCCATCTTTGATTTCAAAATGGAGACATCTATTTAACAAATATAAGTAAAGTGCTTTTAAACAAATGGATCTTTCTGTAGGAATGAGTATCAAAAAATGTAAAATGATAATAGCAACATGTCATGTCGAATTTTACACACTATGTAGGTATACTGCACACTTTAATTTACATCATACTTAAAACTATCACAGATCATTCCTTTTGGACAGTTAATCTATATCAGGTATCTGAGATCCCAAATGTCTTACATAAAACCTGCAAATTTTAATTTACCATTAGATGTTTAAGGGTTTTTTGATAGAATAGTATTTATGTAAACCTGTATGGACACTAGGTCATTTTATAATTTGAATGCCAAGAGTCAAGGTCAGTATGTAAATATTTTAAATATTGCCTATCATCTTCACAGGTCAGCGACTATGTCTCTGGGCCCGCATGTCTTTACAATTTATATTGTACGACCCGATTTAAAATAGAAAAAACAACAACAACATAATCCCTAAAAACGATCAAAATGGCAAAAATGAAATGTTGTAGGCTCGATTTGATTGACCCTGTACATGGACGTTACTTGCAATTGCATGGTACCGTTCAAGCACCCTAGCACCGGCCTACGCAAAATTCATATATCAAAGGGGGAATTGCGAAATTTGAAATTTAGAAATATCCGCAATGTGTTTATACGAAATTTTTATAGTTGTATTGATATAGCTACTTTATAAAGGGTCGTCGTATTTATCAATCAAACTTTAAACATGCCTAGACATGGTTAAAAACAGATCATCTATTTATTAATTGAAATAAACTCAAAAAAATGGTAAAGTCATTTTAATCTTTATTATCTTTCACTTTGAAAAAAAGTCTCGCAAACAAGAACCATAAATAGTCTACGTGCTTGCACTATCTTACGGTTAATGAATAATATAGAGTAAAACATTATAGGTCTACCGCGGGTATTTGATGATGGTGCATGCATAGAGGATTAGACAGATAATTGATACCAATTCTGCAATTAATATATTGACGATTTACTGCTGTTTACCCTTTTTTATTATCACAGAATGATTTGATAGAGCATTTTGGTTTTTTGCTACTAAATCATGTAACATATGCCGTCGAAGCCTATGTCTTTAAAGTTTATTAACTTAACTGATAATACGAGATTTTTTTGCGTTTCGTGAGTCACAAAACGCAAACAATGGGATGGCAACGAATACCAAAATCAATACTCGAGTACTCGGTCATTTTTCCGATCGAGTACTCGGTTACTCGGATGATTTCCAGTGATCTTTAAAGTTTATTACACAATATCAACACCGTCCGCATGCTACTTTCGTTTTCCATTTAAATTCATAGAATTCTGTAAATAGTAAATAGGACTGCACGGAGACAAATTAATTATAATTAAATCAACACCATAATATTTTACAACGTTTTAATAAATGCATTATCAAGTTTTAAACATGTATAACAGTTCATATATCTTTTTTCTTCTTGAAATAATATAGACTGATCGGCGGCAACAAAAGTTTAACCGGGTCTACATACTACTGTCTAGTTACCTTAATTCTTACATTCATGATAACAGTCGGCCCTTTGTTGTTTTCAAAACAGTTACTTCGGCTACACAATTAAAGGTAATTAAATATCATAAGAGGCTGGGTGACATAAGCGACACAGGTGCGCGTGTCAAACTGTTGATCGCCTCGTTAAATTTATGATATCATTTTCGCACCTCTGCAATGATGTTTTTATTGCATTTAACGGGTATTTATGAAGATACATGCTCATCTCCGAATTTCTGAAATAATTGGATACAACAATCTTTCTAAATCGCAAAAAACAACAACAAAAAAAAACAGAAAATATTTTTTTCCGAGTAATCGAATATCAATTTTGTTAACCGATATTCGGACGTTCGAACGAGTACTCGGTTAAACGGTTACTCGTTGCCAATCCCTAACTTTTATCTTAATTCATTGATATTCATTCATTCATTGTCTTAATTAATATCAACGCTTCATTATAATTATGTCACTTTGCCAAGGACGCTGCGTCTTATTCTATATCATTCAAGTGTCTAAGACATATTCAAATCCTCATACTTATTATGTTGTTGTATTGGCTATCTTTCAAGAAATTGTTAAGTATCTTATTCCATTATGATATAACATATTTTGATGTCATTTGCCACAAGATATAATTATTTAATCTCATATTTTTCTACTATCACTCCATAAAATTACTTTGGTATTTCTTAGTGTAATTTTAGTCACTAAAATGTGTACCAACTATTTTTGCACTATCCTGACAATTATGTAAAACAAAGATAAACAAGGATGTGCCACTTTCCTTGTTAATCTTGTTTTCCATTTTTTTCATTGAAGGTATGGTTACTGTAGTCTTACAAGTTTTACAACATAAGAAACATTAAGAAGCATTTATTTATATCTTCAGTAACCTTATTATTTGAAAAAACATCCATGATTAAATGTCAAAGATATAGACACAATCATCAATGTTCTATATTGACCTATCTAGCTATTAACCTAGTGTTTAAGCATTACATATAGTCCTAATGTTCCACAAATGTATGCCCAGTTATGCCAATATCCATCTAATAAATGACAGAAGTCATGACCGGACATGACCTTCAAAATATGACCTTTAATGTCTGAAATCTTACTTTATGCGACAATTCTTTTCTCACTCAAGACAAATTGTTTCAAAGTACCACGTATTTATTCTTAGCTCTCGCTGAATAACACATATATGGACTGGACATGGTCACAAATGCACTCTCATACCATGACTTTTGAAATACAAGTGTGACATTGAACCATTTGTCCGTTACATGTCGTCTTACAAAGAGGCACCATATTTATCCCACATTATTTTTAATTTATCCATGAAATTCAATGATAAAATCGTTAACCGGACTTTTTAGACACTTTAAGGAAATATTTAGTTCGAAATGAAAGTATGATTTTGATCTTTGATTTACATTATCATATGGGTCTTCATGTGACTCATTGTCCCCATGTGCCATATATTTATGCATAATTATTATTTCAAAATGCATCAATTAATGAGAAAGTTATAGATCGGACACAACAGCCTTGTCACGTTTATATCATGATTTATGATATAGAAGTTTAACTGTAGACATACCCCTGCTTGTTCATGACACGACCTTTTCAAATTACACATTTACGCAGTTATTGTCGTTCCAGGACGGTGGCATATACAATTAACAAGATTTAAATATTTTTACCCGTACACCGCCTGCACTAGGTCAATCAAAACAGAAAATTTAATACCACATGATAACAAAATAGACGACAAAAGTCCAAACACAGGGGCCTCAACCACCATGTTCTTGTCGGGTTACCTATATAAGCAATTGAAATACTATCCTAGACTTTACAATTATGATAAACATGCTTATCGATTTTTTATTAGATTTACTTAAAGAATTAAACGTGTGCGGTTATTTGATCAACATATTTATGTTCTTAACAATAAGATGAAATATTTAACAGAGTAATGTAATAATATCTATATAGCCCATTATTATATTATTTATTTTATGTAGATTAATATTGGATGAATTGTGTTTCTCTACTATATATTCTCAAACAAAGTATTAAAGCATGTACCGAAATTATTAGATATTTGCGTTTAAAAAAGTATTTTTCGTCTACAATTTTTAAAGGCTTTTGTAATGTGCATTTATGACAGTTATATTAACCCGTTTAAAAGTAAGAGAAATATATTTTTCTATGACTATTCATCAAACAACCCCGAACAACGGTTTCCAACATTATCCTTAGAAAATAAACCCATATAAAAAGAAAGTAGAATATTATCCGCAGAACGGGCAGGTACAATGCGTTTGAGGTTTAAAGATAGGAGAATTATATCCCTATGTCAGCCAACACTCTCTATTCCTCTCTCTCTCTCTCTCTCTGCATGTAAATTTGTTGCTGAAAAAGTGACCCCTGGAAAAAGGACATCTTGAATTTCCTTTTTTATTCTGGAACGCATTTATACTATTTAACTTCATGTTTTTTATAAGAAATTTATATAATTGATTCAAAAAACGTTATCTTGTTTAAAATATAATATCCTTTTTCTTAACCTTTTTCCTAAAAAGATTCACGTTTAAGCTCCTTGAAATTATTTTAAAATGTCTATAACAACATATACATTAGTTTGTAACGTATGTTATGTACAATAATTAATTGAAAATGTAAAATGAATGTATTATGTAAAAAGGAAATTGTAAATAAACGGGTCTTAAAGGTGGTTTCTAAAAAAACTACATGTGTTTTCATTTGTTTTCATTTGCTTTTTTAAATATTCCTTGTATTATTTTTTTAAAAGAGACACTATTTGCAGATTAATCAGCAGTTTAATATTGTATATGATAATGTCATTTACTTAAAATAAGCATGCAAAGTTGCATATATATTTTACATTAATGTACAAATGTACAACTATAACTGTAACAAAAATCATTTGATATTAACCGTCAATTTGATTTCCATTTGTCAAATATATGCAGACTGATAAAATTGAGAAAAACATAATCCCTTAAGATGGCAAAAACGACATATAATGTAAATGATGCATGCACGGTTCGATTGAGCCTGTTCATCGACGGTACTGGAAAATGAAAGTTCTTATCCACGCCCCCTTGCCACGGCTTAAGCTGAATTCAGCATTTTAGCACGAATATGTTGAGATTTTGAATTAAGAAACATCTGCAGAAAAGTTCTTATTATATTAACTCCTAAATCAGGTTAGTTATCAATAAAAGGGTGTTTTATATTCATTTATACAATAACAACAGACTTCACTAATAAAACAGATTTATGTATATCACTATTAATACACGATAAAATACTTTTTAGACAGGTTTACGTTATTTTGCAAAATACAGAACTTAAAAGCAATAATACAGTGACAGTGAGCAAATTTATGCTCATCAACCAACTTTATCACTCGTCTACAACCAACCTTGAAGGTTGGAATAACAAATAAACTTGTTCTTAAAAAGTAATTAATGCAAGTGATTAGAACGATTTTATAAGAATCACCTACCTTAATATGTGAACCTAGTTGATCGTGTTTTCATCTTGAGATGCAAGCATAGCAAAGTTGAATTGCAATACAGGTTTTAATGTTAGTACGGGTCCAAATTTTTATCGCACTGTTCCTGGGGTAAACACTCATCAGGAATTAATATAAAATATATTGATCACGTGATTTCGATATAATAACCAATCGGATGTCTTCAAATCGTTTAGCGTAGTCCTATAGCTTCAATCTTTATCTGTGATATTTACTTTTCTATCGATAGGGCCATTATGCGTTCTAAAGGGCATTTTCGTCCTCTTTATTTTATCGCCACGTCAGCGTTGTGTGTGCCGTTTCGATGCCGCACAATGTCAAAGGGTTGATATATTTCTGATCCTTGAATATCGTCCAGCATAACGTTATTGTTGTGTTTGTAGCACGTCGAATTCTTTCTTTTTGTTTTGTTTTCTAGTTAGTTAGATGGTTCCTCAATTGAATACTGAGTAACCACTCATAGGATATGCTGACTTTTGACAGCTTATCTGTGAAATTGAGGCTGAATAACATGTGATCCCTTTTCAAAATTCCATTTTATTTAGTTTTGCCTCATTTAGTGTTAACGCATTTTAATTTTTGAGGACCTTACGCCGCTTTTCATGGAATGGCAATAACATGACACATTAAAGGTTCTATGATGAGCGCCGTATGAACATATCTACCGATGTTTTTAAATTCAAAATGTTACAAATTCCCGTTTTGATGTTGAAATCAGCTTAAACAGGCGCTAGCTGTCGTAAACGGTGTCTTTCACTTTCCAGTACCGTACATGTACATGAACCTGCTCAAGCTAACCAAGTCCGCCACATTTTCAAATTTGCCGTGACTGTTATCTAAAGTAGTCAAATATTTTGTGTAACCTATAGTTTAGTGCCTACTTTTGACTTTAAGATTGTTTAGACCAGTTTTCTAACATTTATTTTATCAAAATCGTATTAACTAGATACATGTAGAATCAATGTTATTAAGCAAATAAAAAACTTAATAATAAACTTTTTTATTCTGAAATGTCAACTCACATCAGGTTGTCAATGGATAACGTAATTGTTTATAGCTATGGTGTTGTTCATTTTAAAAGAATGTGTGCTATGATCATAGCAAACAGTTTCATGTTTAATTTTGTGATTTTTTAATAATATCAAGGTATGAATCATAAACGTTTAAAACCAATTTGAAAAGAATTAAAGCAAAATGTTTGTGCAATTGTACAAATTTTCTTCAATGGAAACATAATACGTTATTAAAATGACAAAATACTTACGAATACATTATTATTCGTGAATGTATGTATTTTATGTCATAGAATCGGAACAGAGCAATCGTGCGAGCTTTAGACGAATTTGTAAATATGCTGACACTAAAATCTGGTTTCGATAAACTTAGTTCGCAAAGAATGTATTGACTGTTTGGGTTGTGTTTTTGAAGAATTTGTTTAATAATGCGCCAATATTGTTATGTACCAAACACATTTATCTTGAGGATACATACGGCTTAATGACATTTGAGTGGTTTAGACAACAAAACTGCGGTGAAAGAATCAGGTGATATCGCACTGATAAACTGGTATCACATTTGGTTCAATTGACATTGTAGATACACAAGAATGCCTTTTCAAGGACAAGGCTTGCAACGATTTTTATCAAAAGAGGTTTATAATAGTAAATTGATCAGATTTTAGAAGAATGAATGAGAGAGAAATACATGTTCAAATTATTGAGAAAAAACATCTTTTTCACATTATTTTGTGATATTTGCATTTATTTAGGCAGATAAATCAGCAAGTCAATGCGAGACAGACTGCATAAGCACATCTCACGAAATCAAATATATTGCAAGTGCTTTTTCTTTTATAATTTTCTTTTATAATTATGGATATTTCTCAAAAATGCACCCCTTGTCCTACACTTTTATTCCATAAAAGTGCAACATAAAAGTGCAAAACATAAACAAACAAACAAATACATACACAAACAAATAAATAAATGCAAACAATGCGCTTAATTTTATTGTATCATTTTGTTGAAAACAAAATTACGAATAAAAAAAGTTTAACACAGTTAAGGAAGTAAAATATAAATCCCACAACCTGGTTGTCTGAGATATGAGAGTCATTACCGTCCGCTCGTGTCAGTAATTATAATGTTTGGAAGATTACATTATCAACACTTATTTTTTAAGTACAGAAAAGAGATATAACATAGAGATACGTATGAGATTATGAGTCTGAAAACAACAGAACTTTGTTTATATAAAGCGAGCCACCAAATTTATTTTGTAAGTACTTAGAGAGGAGATAACTTAAAAATTGACACACTTGTTACCAATATAATCCGATTCAGCTATTTTTACCAGTAAACTTTTCAGTATTTGCTGCTTAGTATACCCAATTAAAGTGTAAAACTTGTAGGGTGATTTTACTCCAGTATGTAAAAGAGAGACACAGAGACAGTTTTGAATTTTGTCATGCATTATTCCGTAAATAGACCTGAAAATGAATAAACTAAGCAGTAACAGGAACAAAACTTTTCTCTTTATAAATTGTAAAATGGCGGTTTCCTAACTTGACCCACGTTGGGTCAGGTTAGAGCGTTAAGATTTAACAATAGTTGTCACAGTGAACTCTGGAATCGTTAAAAAAACTTGTCAAATGAACGGCTTGGACTTGTTTCAATCATGCAGTATCCGTTATTGTAAATTCCAGGGTGTGTTTAAATCTCAAGACTTGTTCTGAATTTACTCGGTAATTCTGCCGGCGTCTAATTTCGTTCAACATATATAAATATATTTACGCTATGTAGAATGTATACAGATTTTCACGCTGGGACTTTAAAAAATGCCATGTTATACATAAGATTATTTGAATATTATTTTCATTAATTTGCTTGAGAGTCCCTTTAAGTACTTTGTTTATATCATGATCTTTGTATTATGACCTGTGAAATAATCTCTTTCTACAGAAAAAAACAGTGTTAGACGTTCATCATTCTTTAAATACTTAAGAACACGTGTGTGGTTTATGAGAGAAAGAATGAGGTCATATTTCGTTCGATAAGCTGGTGTCACATTTAGTGCATTTGGCATTGCGGATAAACAAGTATATTTGAAGGTCAAAACTTGCAGCGATTTATCAAAAGAGTTTATAATACTTTTTGGGGGGAAGAATAAATAAGAGAAATGAAATTATTCAAATTATTTAAAATATCTCTATGTTATTGTAAGATTCCTGAATTTATTTAGGTTTGTAGAGAGATCAGCAAGTCAGTGCGGGACAGACTGTTTAAAAACATCTCACATCCACAGACAAATCTTGGAAGGGCTATTTCCTAAATAATTATGGACATTGCTGAAAAAAGGAAGGTTGCGTTCTACACATTTATTCGAAACATTAATAAATAAATAAATAAATAAATAATTATTTAAATAAATAATTTAATAAATAAATACTTGCAAAAAACGGACTTTATTTTCGATTCTTATTTGGAAAAGGAACAAAAATAACGAGTATAATAAGGAATGGAATATAATACCTGAAACATTGCACATGTATGTGAGTCATTACTTTTCGTTTTTGCCAGTTATAATGTAAGTAAAATGCACATTTCATGAAAATTACCAAGAACATTGAAAGTTAGTATGTATAGTAGAAATAATTGATACTTTACGAGACATTATTTTATCCAGCTTACTTTAATAGGTTATTTATATCTATTTTCTAAATACAGAAAAGAGAGATAACTTTTGCAACATGCTATGTATCTTGATTACAGTTCCAATATCATAAGCAGAACTATGTTTATATCAAGCATGCAAACCAAATGTACTTCAAAAGTACTATTATCCGTATTAAATTAAGGTATTAGGAACCTTATACAGAGCTTTCTTCAGAAGAGTATTCCGTTTCAATGAGGATACAGCGTTTGAATGGGTTGTGGGTCCAAGCCCTACTGGTGGTCATTTTTGTTCTTTTTATTATTTTCGTCTGGTCATATTGATGTTTTCCTTTTGAATTTCAATAGAACTAACATCTTTTTCTAGATTATCGTCTTTTTAGATATGCTTCTCTTTGATTTTGTTTCTCATTTCAAAAGTTTGGTCATTATTTATCACTTCTAAAGTTAGATAAAAATGAAATATTTTGTTTCCGTCGTTTTTTCTATATCACCTTACATAATGCATCCCTTCAGTACATATTGATCTGAGACAGAATTTTGACCCGAGAGTCCTGCTTTTTGAGGTAAACTCTATGTTTCAATACGTGTTTGTTGTATGTAAAACACCTTTCGGTGGTATCATTTTGTAAAAACTCTGTTTTTGGCCCGTTTTGCGACATTTTCTTCTTATGCATTGAATGTTTTTGACACACCAGAACCCACGACGGAAATAATATGTCGACGATCTAGAACAAAAATGGATAAATACAGAGGAAAGTCAGACAGGTTAGAATCACATTCCGATTTTCTTTCACAAAACCTTTTTGTTTGCCTATTTTGGTCAAATTAATTAATTAAATAATCTCCCTTTGATCGTCAAGTCATAGAACAATATTACTATCTATCACCCGTTTACTATTAAATCTCAACTTAGCTTATTCCCAACACGGTCAATATTTTCGCTTGAAATTTCGTCTTAGATAAAACCTATTTTCATACTGATACGAACAATATAGCACAACACACAATAGATATTTTCTTAAAGAAGCCGTTAAAAATATTGAGTCATTTTTTATACGAAATATTGCGAGTTTGACAGCGAAATTTCCAAATACGCCACGAGTAAACAAACATACATTGAACTGATAAAGTAAAACAAAAAAGTATTCCGAGCAGGATAAAACATTGAAATCATACTGAATTATGGTTATGTTGACAATTTATGTCCGTAACTTATGCAACGAACTTATGCCGAACGCCTGTGATAAAAAAGGATTACGCTGACGATTGTATTATAAACGCATACAGTATCGGCAGCTCAGGATATGTTTTATTTCTAATTAAATTATTCAATACACACTAGAATGATTTTGGATAGAAAAATAATCTAAAATTTTCGGTGTCCTGTAGGGCCGTTGTCTCAAAACAACGATAATGAGATACTGCGATTATGAAAAGTCGAAATCGCGATACCATGATGGGGGAAATGCGAAAGAACGATGGTGAAGAAAAACGAAACTATGATTGTGAAAACGCGAAACAACGAAAGTACGATACTGAAAACTCGATATAACATCGTGTTTTCTCCACTGGTTATTCAACTTTTCATCATTAACGTGGTTTCAATATTTTCACTTTTTATTATTATTGTTTTGAATGTTCTTAAGCGTTGTTTT